TCAGACAGCACCTCAGCAAGGTTCAGTTCTTTTTCTAGAGGAGTGACCCATACCTCTATCTCTGAAGGATCTGAACTCTCTGTCATCCTGCCTGGTTTTAGCTGTTGTAATTTACCATTAACAGGACATGGTCACACTAAGAGATGCCATAAAGGTCTCCCACACTCCAGACACAGGCCTTCTTACCTCCACTGTGGAGAAGCAATCCAATTTTCCAGTTACCTAAATTAACCACCTCTTCTAACACCGTGGCTCTTTTCTTAGCTTGTCGGCTTAAGTACATTAAAAGTCAAAAGTAGCCAGAAGGAAGTCTTAGCTTCCACTTCAATGGAATGTTAGTTCTAGGTCAGCAGAGCATAAGGTCATGATGAGTGGGGTTCTTTTCCATTTCTACTTCCTTGATTCCTAAACCTGTGGATCCTGGCTAAAGAAGAAACAGTACCACATATTCTATGCTGATTCAAAGTATGTACCACTTTCTGGAGAACCAACCTCCTGGCCATAGAGGATACTGCCACCTAATTGGTTGGTGAGTTCATCTTAAAAAGACCATTCCACTGTTTATTTAAGCTAGCTGCTTCTGGTGGGAAACTTTTCTGTTGCTAAGATAAAAGGCTATAACCAAAAGCAACTTATGAAAGAAAGGGTTTGTTTTAGCTTGCACTCTCAGAGGGACAGACTCTGTCATTGGTCAGAAGGTTAATCAGGGACCGCATGGAAGCAAAAGGCCCAGGAGAGAGAGAGAGAGAGAGAGAGAGGAAGAGAGAGAGAGAGAGAGAGAGAGAGAGAGAGAGAGAGAGAGAGAGAACAGGAAGAGACTAAGGTTATAAACATTTAAAGCCCTTCCCTGGTGACATACTTCCTTCAGTAAGGCTGCATTTTCTAAAAGTTCCATAACCTTCCAAACAGTTTTACCAAGTCAGGACCAAGGATTCAAACACATGAACCTATAGGGGACATTTATTATTCAAATCACCACGAAAAGTGCTGACTGGTATCATTTTAAAATGGATGCTTTGAAAGCCAGCACGAGCTACCTCTGGTTTCCCTGTCCCTATACCATGATACCTGAGACTGTCTCAGAGTCATGATTATTTGCATGTGTTTTATCTAGTTCAACTAGCAGTGTCTGAATACAGCCAAGGAAACTTAATGGGAGTCCTCATCTTGGAACCAGCTGTACCTGCTCAAAGTGTCCCTTGCTGTCCACTAAACTGCACCCTGTCCTTGCATAAAGCTTCCTTTCCTCCATCCTTAATCTTTTGTTTACTTAGCATCCATAGGTAGTGAGATGACCTGTCACTGGGTCTCTGCCTAGGTATATGTCATGGTTTGAATGATCTGTCCTCCAGAGTTTCAGGTATTTGAATACTTGGCCCCCAATTAATGGTGCTATTTTTGAGGTTTAAGGGGTGTGACCTTACTGGGGGAAGTGGCCTTGGGGTGGGCTTTGAAAATTAAATGGTTTGTGCCATTTTATAATTCTTTCTGTGTTTCATGCTTGAGATTGAAGATGTGAGCTCTTGGCCTCCTCCTCTCGCTGCCATGCCTTCAGGTGGCAATCATGACCTCTAACCCTCTGGAACTGTAAGACCAAACCCTTCCTTTTATAAACTGTCTTGCTCATGGTGTTTTATAACAGCAATAGAAAACCAACTAATGCAGAATAATTAGATAGATTGTGACCATTCTGTCTGTTTTGTAAGGGTTCTGCAGTTCAAGCTCAGGGCCTTATTTATCCAGACAAGTGTTCTACCACCGAGACATAGTCATAGACCAGCTAGTCTAATTTTTTTTATTTAAATTGATTTAAATAAACACATGAAAATTAAAAATATTTGAGGGTGTTATGTGATGTTCAGATACTTGTATTCATTATGTAATGTTAAAATTAAGACAAACATATCTATTTTCCTTAAATATTTATTATGTAAATGTGGTGAGAATTTTCAAAATAAATGTTCTAACCTCTGGAACTACATAGTATATCATAATTATCTTTAGCTCCCCTGCATGTGAGTGCACACCAGAACCCTGTATTCCTGTTACGGGTCTCTGTGGACTGGAAGAGGCAGGGAGAGTTCAAGTTCTGGAATATTAGCGATGACAGAATGGAGCTGGCTCACGGTTGCTCTGGTTGCTCCTCCCTGATAAAAGGGCAACATGGCCTCTGCTGGGCATCCCTGGTGGATACTTGTGAGTGTTTCTGACCAGGTGAACTACCCTGAGACTCAAAGTTCACTTCCACCCAAAGAGTGAACTGAGTGTGTGGTCTGTAGATGGAGAAGCCTTTCAAAACATCTTGAAAAGGATCTACCAAGGATCTTGAGTTTTTCTGCAACACCATCAAAGTTTCTTTGAACTTAGAGACAGGAAGGCATAACACACACCCCCTCCCACCTAGATTTGTTTAGAAGTATAATGAGCTACTAAGTAATTTTACTTAGTAGCCTCTGAGTTAGCACATGCCTGTCAGTGCACTGGCTGCCTGTGGTGGGATTCAGCACAGCACAGAGCTGATGGACCATGACTGTGTGCCCTGAAGAACGCGGACTAAAGTCTCTTGAAGCAGTTCCTAGGTGATTCTGAATTACGTACTTCCCAGTTCTTCATTGCCTTTTCTTGTTAGGTTCCATATTAATTGTGCCATATAGTATCCTATTTCTAAAAAAAATAATTTATTTAAATTTTTTACGTCTATTGGTATGAGGGTGTCAGATCCCCTGGAACTGGAGTTACACATAATTTGGAGCTGCCATGTGGATGCTGGGAATGAAACCCAGGTTCTCTGGAAGAGCAGCTGGTGCTCCAAACCTCTTAGTCATCTCTCCAGCTTCCGTCATATAGTATTCTGACAAATAAACGTTAGATAATGAACATTTTGGAAAAGTGTTTATTACTTGACACTCCACAGTAGAGGACAAGAGTGGCTCATTTTGCTTGTGGGATATAGATAGACAATGTTATTTTATTAAGACTAAAATTAGTTCATTTAAACACTATCACCCAGAGAGAAAATGAGGCAGCTCTGAGAGCTGAGCTGCCTGCCAGTGAGCAGTGTGCCCACGTGGAGAGCCTTTTAATGGTGCAGCCCAGTGCCCACGTGGAGAGCCTTTTAATGGTGCAGCCCAGTGCCACCCTGAGGAAGACTGAGCTAGCAATTGCCACCTCATTGTATAGTAATTGCTATACTCATTGGTGATATCCCAGGAAAGAATTTCCAGTGCAAACAGTGCTTCTGAACAGAAAGAAGAAAGACACCAGTTTCTGCTTAGAGGATTCCATTCCAACTTAAGTATGATCCTATGCCTAAGGGGATTGCATCATCTGAGAAAGAACAAAACAAAGCAAAACAGATGAACTCTGGCAATTCCCTCTGTCCTTCATGCTTTCCTTCACTGCCATTTGATTTGGGAACAATGGTACAGTATATCTCAGAGCTGGACCACGGCACTTAGCTCTAGGTCAGGCCAAATATCAGCTTTCTGGGCATTCATGGGTCCTGCACGTCACCTGTTTTGAGGCTGATTATAGGAGAGTCCCAGTAAGCCACCCAGTCCAGGGTTTCTTTCAGTAGCAGTTTTCCGTTTCTAGGCCCGAGTTGTCATGATTCTCTATGAAAAGATTTGGCTGGGTGTGGTGCTCCATGCCTTTAATCTCCGCACTCAGGAGGCAAAGGCAGGCTGATCTCTGTGAGCTCCATGCCAGCCAAGACTATATTATGAAACCCTTTCAAAGAAGTAAATAAATATAAAATAAGAAAGAGAAAGAGGGAAAGAGGGCTGGGGTCAGAAGATTTGAATTGAGGCCAATAAAGAAACCAGAAATTGGAAGTTCTTGACGGCTACTACACAGATTCATCCTTTCTATAGGTTAACACAAAGCTAGTGGAAGAACACTTCTCTGAGCTGAAGGATGTCCAGTGGCTGTCCTCCTAACCCTACCCCACACAGAGACCATATAGAGGCATGTGACAAATCCGGACGGAACCCAACACTGATAACTTTTGGCACCTTAGCTACCCTTTTTAGTTCTGCTCACTTTGGCTGTCTCCACAGCACTAGGGAGCCAGAGCTTCAGGTTAAAGAAGTGACAGGCAAAGGACTACAGGCATCACAGAAACTTCACAGTGTCCTGTGCAGAACCAGATATAGCACCACAGCCTCTGGTCTCTAAAGAATTGAGCTTGGGCCTCAGGAAGCCTTAGCTCTCTATTGTCTGCTCTGCAGCAGCTGAGGCAGCAGCAGCCTGAAGCTCAGAAGGTAATAGATCCCTTGCCAGCAGCATCAGTGAGCCCTGGGAGCAGGGAGTGACTGTTGGAACCCTGTAGTGTGAATTGGTATCACTGTGCTTTTCACAGTATATTAAATTACTTCTGTCTCACCAACCGGACTGAGAATTCTCCAGTGAAGGGCTACATGCCACTTATCACTTCTCTGTTAATCACAAAGTTAGGAGCTTAATAGTCTTGCAATAATTAAAGGAATAGATATCATTTAGGAAAATCTGGATCTGAATTGTGGATGATCACTTGGAGTTTATATAAGCCTGTTCCCTGGTCTGTCTTGGCTAATGTACAGGTCAAGTAGCTTGTGGCTAGCGCATTGTAAACAATGGCCTCAGTGCATAAGGAATGTGGGAGCATCAGGTCCCACATCTCCATCCTGTTTCTGCTGGGCTCCCTAAGGTATTATGGTTGCCATGGCACACAGCTGGAGAAATCAAGGAAGAGCAGTGGGGTGAAACAGAGCCAGCACACAGCCCTTGTCCTCTGGGGAACCTCTGCCAGCCCATGGCAGGACAGGATGGAGTTCATCTCCTATCTGCTTTCTCCACCTGGTCAGCAATACTACTCAGTTTGCCTCTGCAGTCTAGTTCAGGACCCTGGAACTCTCCCTTGAGGCTTTCTTCCTCTCTAGCTCTGGCTCCTGGTACCTGCCTGGCTGTCATAGCAACAAGTTCCAGGGTGACAAAAGAGGAAGCTGGGTCTTGTGGGTAAAGCTTTTTGGACCACAGAGACTGCCCGGGCTGCATCTATCCAAGCTTTCTGTGTTCTTCCTCTGGCTGAGCTCATCCTTCTAGCCTGGCCAACAGAACCATGTCCACCAGCCTGACCACTTGTGAGTGGAAGAAAGTCTTCTACGAGAAGATGGAGGTGGCAAAGCCAGCAGACAGCTGGGAGCTCATCATAGACCCCAACCTCAAACCCAATGAGCTGGGCCCTGGCTGGAAGCAGTATCTGGAGCAGCATGCCTCTGGCAGGTGAGAGGCTGGTGCGAGGGTGGTGCAGGAAAACCACCTGTAGAGGGGGTGAGGTGGGCTGTCACAGACTTTGCAAGCCTGGGCCTCTGGTAGGTCTCAGCATGTCAGCTCAGGGGACAAGCAGACAATGGACTGCCAGGAGGACCACATAGGCTCTGCTTCTAACCACAGCTCTTCTGATTTCTTGGTTTCTTGGAACAAATAGCGCCCTGCATTTGAGTCTCAGTTTTCCATCAAAAATCAAGATTGGCAATGTTTCAGAGCCCTGCAAATTCAGATGCCTAGTGTAGTTGGAATGGAGAGGAGATATGATGGGGATCCCCAGAAGTCTCAACCTAGATGCCAGGGTATTTGTGGTTGGGGGCTGTGGTACTCATCTACTCAATCAAATGTAACTAAACTTGAAGAAAGACTAAGTGATTGAGAACCTGGTTCTATAGCTCTGTGAACTTGGGCTTGTCCCCTTCTTTCTCTGGCTCCAAGTTTTCAAATTTACAAAGCAAGGGAGCTCATCTTAGGTCATCGTAAAACACTACTCCAATGCCTTCCAACTCTACTGTGTGGGTGACAAAATGCTAACCCCAGGCAGCACGTGCCCTAGATCTTCCTAAGTGTCCCTCACTCTCCACCACGCAGAGTGTCCTGGGGGCTTTTCTAAAATCATTTCCCTCTTACAGACAGATGATTTTGGGGGATGGGAGGCCCAGTTTCCTGCTCAGACAGCCTCCAGCCCACCTGCAGTGGTGCAGCTCCTCACTCCTTCACAGGAGGCTGTGCTGTGGAGGTGTGAACAAATTATGGCTGTGTTGTCCATATTGTAAGGGTGTGAAGCCTCTTGAGCAGAGTACACCATGCAGGTGGGAACAGGAAAAGCCACGCTATGAGTGGGGAGTGGGCACCTGGATTCTTACCACAGGCCTTGCAAACAAAGATGGACCGTGTGCTAACATGGGACAGGGCACAGAGGTCGATTGGTTTGTGGTGGCTCCTGTTGTCAATGCTGTGCAGTGGACATCTCTCTAAGTAGCTGCATGCTCTTTTATGTTCTATGCTTCAGTCTCAGCTCTCTCTAAATGCTCACCGGTGTCCCATACTTTTGGAGATATGGGGTCTGTGTTGTGGGAGGGGGAAATAATTCTGGACTGACTTATTTACAAAGACTTAGGAGACTGAAAGCACAAAGTGTTTGAGCCTCCTGGGGGGTTAAGTGCAGAAAGTTGAGAACTGGCTGGTGTGGGGCCTTCTGGAGATTGGGGACATCTCCAAAGGCTTACAGGTCTTCTCACCTTGGACTTAGTCCCAGCTGGCCACAGCTATGACCCAGTCATTCTTCGCATATGCTTGTTTGATTTTAATCTTTCAGTTGTATTAAATCTTGGGCCTGAGTACTGGCGCAGTGTAGGGAAAAGGAGTGGGGTCTTCCCCATCCAGGACCTGTTAGACACCTCTGTCCTTTGACCACGTGTTAGGTGCTGCTGGGTATTGTTCTGTGCTCTTATTGTCAGTGGCTTCCAGAGGTCAGAAGCCTGCTTGGTTCCACTGCTCTTCCACAGTGGCTGAGTAGTGTTTACAATACCGTTGGTGCCTCTTGGGTTGAATTGAGTTCTTAGTCAGAGGGTCCTTCACAACCGTTTGTGCAATGGATTAGGCAGAGCCAGGAATAAGGGCAGAATCAGCCCAGTGGCTGATTCTGAATACCTCGGAAGCCTTTGTAACACGGCTCAGAAGAGCCCATTTCAGGGGCATACGGAGCCTCCCTGGAGTTTAAAGGAGTGTTCCATCACAGGAGGTACGTAAGTACACACTATTGGGAGGCCAGGAGGAGCCAGGCTTGGCAGGTGAGCCCCAGGCCACCTCTCTCCATGCTTTCTGAGGCCCAGGTGGTAAGAAACCCATAGACTGATCAACATGGCTTTTCCATTTTCATCCTCCATCTAACAGGCTGGCCTTTTCTTTCCTGTGCTCTCCCGGGCAGGGTGGTCCCTCAGAGTCTCATCTACTCTATTCCTCCTTCTTTACCCGGCAGGTTCCACTGTTCCTGGTGCTGGCACACCTGGCAGTCTGCCAATGTGGTCATCCTCTTCCACATGCACCTGGACCGTGCCCAGCGTGTTGGTTCAGTGCGCATGCGTGTGTTCAAGCAGCTGTGCTACCAGTGTGGCACCTCACGGCTGGATGAGTCCAGCATGCTGGAGGAGAACATCGAAGGCCTGGTGGACAACCTCATCACCAGTCTTCGTGAGCAGTGCTACGATGAGGATGGTGGCCAGTACCGCATCCACCTGGCCAGCCGGCCGGACAGCGGATTGCACCGCAGCGAGTTCTGCGAGGCCTGCCAGGAAGGCATCGTGCACTGGAAGCCCAGTGAGAAGCTGCTGGAGGAGGATGCAGCCTATACCGATGCCTCCAAGAGGAAGGGCCAGGCCGGTTTCATCTCCAACTTTTTCTCATTTCGCTGGTGCCTGTTCTGGGGCGCCCTCTGCCTGGCCATTGTTTACCTGCAGTTCTTCCGAGGCCGCTCTGGCTTCCTTTAGTGGAGTTGGTTAGGGGTGGGGAGAAGGGACACACGGGATTGAGATGGAGAAAGAATTTGGTCTCCTCATGAGTCTGCTACAGGTTCAATCTATGACTCTGGTCATCTGCACACTGCTCACTAGTCTGCACTAGGAGAAACGTAGTGGTCCTTCCACTAATTTGATAGCAACAGAAGGCAAGTAGAAGGAATGGGGATTTGGAAGCGTGCTGGAGTTTAGTGTGAGTTCGAAATCTACAGCCACCACCTCCAGCCTTTTCCTTTATGCTCCTAGCCTTAGGTCTCATCTGTACCCTGTCACATCCTCATGCTCGCTTTCAGTTTTCTCTAAGTTTCCTGCATGGTTCCCCTTGGAGGGAGCGGCACCTCCTCCAGCCTTCCATCGAATACACAGGGACAGCCACCCAGTCCTGTTCCCACTATTCGAACTGCTGAGGATTTCACTCTGGGGCTAGGGCTTTGATCAGGGTGGAGGTGGGGGTTGTGGAAGTAGGGGTGGGTTGGGGGTTGAAATGGTCCAGGGTACATTGTCCAGTGGGTTAGCTATTGGCAATATGTGGCTATTCCAATTTAGATGAATTAAAATGCAATAAAAATTGTTCCTTAGTAGTTCCAAACTCAGTTGAGTTTATACAGAATTTGTCCCCATAGGGGCCATTGCTCAATGGCAGACAAAGGTGACGAACACCAAGGGTTTGGGCATCAAGTGCTCCCCAGAGGACTTCCACCCTATGTTTTGTCTACCCTGGAAACCCCTAGGCAACACTGAGCAACAGGACAGGAGAAAAGAGGCGCCAGCCTGCATCTCTTGCTGAAATCTGTTTTTTGTCTAGAAATAGTTTGCCAAAATTCCGTCAAGAAATTAGGTCATGTCTCTGATGGTCAATAAAGCAGGGTGTCTGACCACCGCCTCAGAGGAAGGAAATGCGGCTGAGAGTGGATGTGAGGACAAGGAAGCGAGAATAGATGAAGAGAAATGAGGCTAGAAACATTTCCGGAAGCTTCTTTTCCCTGGTAAACAATGATGTCTGCATTTTCATGTTAAGTTGGAGTGACTGGTCCCTGACTCGGCGCCCCTCCCCCACCTGCTGCAATGATTTTATCTCCTCAAGACCAAGGGAGCAGGTTATATTTATTTCCAAGACTTGTTTCCTCTTTAGTTCGTGGGAATCTCATTTCTAACTCCCTAGAGCCAGTGCTCTGTACTTCACTACCAAAACTGCTTTTCTGTTTGTGTGTACCTCATTTGTTTGCCACATTTTATAGTCCTTTCTTTCTGTAATTGTTCTGTTAATGGAAAAAGTGGCTATCACTCTAGTACTCCCCTTGCATGTATTCTGATCATATTCAAATATCTATCACATCTTGCCCCTCCAACAACTGGTCCTTTGTTCCCCAAACGATCCCTTTCTTGCTTTTGTATCTCTGTTTTAAAAAAAAAAATCTTTTTACATGAGGGAAAGCATGTGATATTTTTCTCTTTTAGTCTAACTTATTTTGCTTAACATGATCCCCAGTCCCACCCATTTCCCAGTAAGTGGCATTTCATTTTTTTCTTTATAATTAAATATATAGTGTTGTGTACGCTCTATGTGTTTTTTTCATCCATTGATCTGTTACCAGGTAGGTCATCTGATTTTATAACTTGGCTATTGTGAATAGTGTCATAATAAATGTATATGTGTAGATATCTCTGTGGTTTGCTGACTTACGTTCTTTACAATATGCACTGAACTATAGTCTTGATTGTTTTTCTTGGGAACTTATATAGTGACTGGACAGCACCTGCTCTTCATATTTGGATTGTTTTTTCTCTTGATTGCAATAACACTTTCCTCTCCTTCATTCTTTATATGTCCAGAATATCCCAGATTTTCTTCTGTTCATTTCTTCTCACACCTTCGTTTTTTGTTTGTTTGTTTGTTTGTTTTAATGACATATTTACTCTCAGTTCTCATGGCTTCCTAACCTTTCATTACAGAGCTTCCGACACACAGACCAAGTTATCTGACCACCAGGAGTTCTCTTCCATAGCAGCCTGGCCAAACCTAGTCCTTGGCTTCTTAGAAGCCTAGTGTTGTCTATCTCTCTTCTCTTCCCTGGCCTATCCACAGTATTTTCCTATCATGTCCCCATGTTAAGTGTTGTCTGCTTATCCCCCTTCATTGCCTTACCCCACCTCACACTACTTGATCACTATCCCCCATGTCATGGTGGTTGTATGCTGTCTTCTATTCTCCTTCATGACCCTATCCCACACCACCTCTCATACTTGTCTACTTGGACACCACTTTCCATGTCATATGGGATGTTGGCTTCTCATTTTCTTTCACTGTTCCATCTCACATCATCTGTGTCCTATTGTGGTGGCTAAACCTGGTTGTCAACTTGACTACATCTGGAATGAACTACAGTTCAGAAAGGAGGGCACACTTGTGATCCAGGTCTTGAGGCTGGGAGACATGGCTTCTGACCTGGATCTTGACATGGGATAACATACCCTTTTGATTTAGATCTTGAGGCATAGAGGTCATGAACAGCTTAGGGCCATGCAAGATAGTACTTGCCTTTAATCCCAGAAGATCTAGTCAAGTAGATCTCTGAGTTCAAGCCTGGGACAGAACATGTCTCAAATCCAGGCATGGTGGTACATACCTTTATTCTGAGCCATACCTTCTACCGGGGGCCTACATAAAGATAACGGAGGAAGGAAGACTCATTCTTCTTTGCTGCTTGCACTTACTTGCCAGCACATCTCTTGGAACCTACTTCTTCAGGACTCTAGCTTATCAGAAGACCAGGTGAAACAATTAGCCTGTGGGAATGAGCAACGACTAGATTCTTGGCCTTCCCATTCACAGCTGCCCAATGTTGGGTTAGTTAGACTACAGATTGTAAATCATTACAACAAATTTCCTTAATATATAGAGACATTCCATAAGTTCTGTGACCCAGGAGAACCCTGACTAATACACCCATGTTGTTACCTTTAGAACCTCTCTCTCCCCAATCTAAATATCTCTACCCACCTCATAGTACTTGGCCCACAAGGCTTACTTCTTCATTTCTTGGCATTCTGGGCTCTTGTACCAGGTTTCAGCCAATTATAAACTTACAGTACTGAACTCCTCGCTAAGCCCCCACTTCTTATCTGTGTCAGTAACTACAGCATCTAAGCCATCAGTTATTAGGGAAAGATTAAACACGAGTCAAGATTTCCATCTCATTTGAACTAGAAGAATCATAATCCATGAGATTTGTTCTTGGGGGACAAAGAAGGTAACATAAAGAATATTGTGCTCAACAAGACAAGAATTAGTCAGTGAATCAAGCTAATTAAACAGTAACTCTGTACTGGGTACTGGAGACAGAAAAGGTGAAGAACAGCTTACAGTGACATGCCTATAAATAATCAATGACAAAAGAAATTATGAGTGGTGGTGTCATCCCTGGGCTGGTGGTCCTGAGTTCTGTAAGAAAGCAGGCTGAGCAAGCCGTGGGGAGCAATCCAGTAAGCAGCACCCCTCTGTGAGTACCAAAGAAAGTAACAAAGGTGGCCTCACTGTGATGAAATCCTACCTCTATCAGAGGCAGTGACTGGCTTCACTGGAAGCCAGTGACCATGCTTAGACTGAAGAAAAGCCTTTGAAAGCTAGTGGTGACAGAATTCTGAGGAGCTGAGATGGAAGAGATAGAAAAACTGAGGCTCAGAGGTTTTGTATTCTAAGCCTTGTAAATGAGGAATTAAGCCTCTCAGGGCTACATAACCACCACAAGCAGAAGTCATCTGAGGGGAGGGAACCTCCATTGAATCTTTCCACAGGCAAGCTCGCAGAACATTTTCTTTCTTTTTTTATGTTTTATTTATTTTTATTTTTTTATTGGGTACTTTATTTACATTTCAGATGTAATCCCCTTTCCCTATCCCCCCCCCAGGAACTCCCTATCCCATCCCCCCTCCTTCTGCTTCTATGAGGATATTCCCCCACCCACCCTCTCACTCCCACCTCCCCACCTACAATTTCCCCTACACTGGGGTGTCCAGTTTTCACTGGACCAAGGACTTCCTCACCCACCTATGCCTGACAATGTCATCCTCCCCTGTGTATACAGCTGGGGCCATGAGTCCCTCCCTGTGTGCTCCCAGGCTGGTGGTTTAGACCCCAGGAGCTCTGGTTGGTTGGTATTGTTGCTCTCCCCATGGGGCCGTAAACCCTTTCAGCTCCTTCAGTCCTCCATTGGGAACTCCATGATCAGCTCATTGGTTAGCTGTGAGCATCCGCCTCTGTATATTTTAGGCTCTGGCAGACCTCTAAGGAGACAGCTATATCAGGCTCCTGTCATCATGCACTTCTTGGCATCCACATCAGCAGAACATTTTCTTAATTAGTGATTGATGGGTAGTGCCATCTCTGGGATGGTGGTTCTAGGTTCTATAAGAAAGCAGGCTGAGCAAGCCACTGTTGAACAAGCCAGTAAGTAACATTCCTCCATGGCCTCATCAGCTCTTGCCTCCAGGTCTTTGAGTTCCTGTCTTGACTTACTCTGAAGATGAACAGTGTTGTAGAGGTGTAAGACAAATGAACACCTTTCTCCCCAAGTTGCTATGGTCATGGTGTTCATCACAGCAATAGAAACTCTAAGACAAGTTGGTACCTGGATTGCGGGGTTATTGCCATAACAGACCTGACCATGTTGTTTTGGGACTGTGGAAGGACTTTGAAACTGTGCAGATAAGGCCACTGAGTGTTTAATGCTTGCTGAGCTGTTTTATACTAGCTTGGAAGATAAGACTGTTGAGAGCAAGACAGATGATGGAGAGCTAGCTTGTGAAGCAAACACTCTTTTGTGACATTTGTGTGAAGGATCTGTGGTGAGAGGAGAGAACTCCAGTTGAGAAAATGCCTCCATATGATACGGCTACAGGCAAACCTGTAGAGCATTTTTGTAGTGATTGATGGGAGAGGTCCCAGTTAATTGTGGGTGGTGCCATCCCTGGGATGGTGGTCCTAGGGTCTCAAAGAAAGCAGGCTGAACAAGCCACGTTGAACAAGCCAGTGAGCAGCCCTCCTCTACTGCCTCTGCATCAGCTCCTGCCTCCAGGCGCGTATCTTCACTGCTTTCCATGATGAGCTATTGAATGGAACTGTGAGCAAAACAAGCCCTTTCTTCCCCCACGTTGCTTTTGTTCAAAGTGTTTCATCACAGCAACAGAAACCTTAACTAAGACAATAACATATAATGAAGGTCAGTTCAAAGGCCATTGCAAGGATGATGACCTCTTGTCAAGAGAGTAGAGCCAATCTACTACTATTTCTGTTAAAAGAATATGTTACACAGATTAGTACATTAATCAACCCTCACCAAAGAAGTTCCTTTTTGCAGTAGTAGCATTTAGCACAGAGAACCACAGCTAGCCATGGTGCAGAGAATAAGAGACTACAGAATACTCAGCCCTAGATGGAATATCTGTATAACATCCCTCCATTTAAGGTTCAGAGATCCTTGAATAAAAGGGGGCAGCAAAATTCAATGGGGTGACATTAACTGTGACTCACAACATTGGAGATATGGAACCTGAAGAGGCCACCTCCTGTAGCCAGGCAGGATCCCCAGTGGAGCAATGGGGACACCAACCCACCCATAAAACTTTCAACCCAAAATTTATCCTGTCTACAAGAAATGCAGGCACAGAGGAGGAAGCAGAGACTGAGGGACTGGCCAACCAATAACTGGCCTAACTTGAGACCCATCCAATGGACAAGCCCAATTCCTGACATTATTAATGATGCCGTTACGTTTGCAGACTGGAGCATGTTGTCCTCTGAGAGGCTCCACCCAGCAGATGACTCAGACAGATACAGACACAATCAAACAGAAGATCGAGCTTGGGGACTCTTATGGAAGAATAGGAGGAAGTATTGTCGCCCCCTGAAAGGGATAGGAACTCCACAGGAAGACAGAGTCAACTAAGATGGACTCTTGGGGCTCTCAGAGTCTGAACCACCAACCAAAGAACATACACATGCTGGACCTAGGCTTCCCCGCAAGCACCTAGCCTCACAGAGATTTGAAGTGCCAGGGTTGGGGAATATGCCTGTTCAGAGGAGAAGAGGATGGGGGATGGGGGAAGGATTGTGGAAGGGGGTGAGTGGGAGGGGGCAGTGAGTAGGAGGTAAAGTGAGTAAGTAAAAAACATTAAATTAAATTAGAAAAAAAGAAAAGGGGACAGAAAGACTGTAACAGTCATAGATTTCAGATGACTATAGGGAAACTGTTTTCTAGACACAGTAGTTGGACATATGAATTCACAGTGGTTGAAGAAGCATGACAAGACCTCCACAGGCTCAGGCCAGATAAAATTCCAGCATGAAGTCTTATCCTTAGCTTAAGAATTATACAGTTGTTAGCTACTGGGGGAGGAAGAGTTAGTGTTCTTTAATGTTGAATACCTTCCAGTAAAGGCCACATCCAAGAGTATATGGAGAGCACAAACTGTATTTGATTTTTAAAAAAGACACAAAGGTGGATGGGTAGGGAAGGACATATGGATCTAGGAGGAGTGGAGGTTGTTAGGTTTCAAAGCCAGGACAAGTCTCACTCAATACCTGTGGCTCCTCCCAGCTCTCCCAGAATCCCTTAGTTCTGTGCTCCTCCCAGCACTCCTTACCCTGCCCCTACCCTAAGGTT